GTCTAGCAGAATACATCTGCTCAGAAACAGACCTTCCGAACATAAATCGCTAAGGGACCCGTAATACTTCGCCGAAAAAGCCGGAAAAAGCCCAAAAGTAAAACGCCCACTTCACTAGCGCGGCTTTTGGCGCTGGACCATTAGTTTCGGAAACATGTTGAATACTAGATGAATGAGAAAACTTCCTTCTTGATATAGATATTGTTGAACATACTTCAAGAAAAACGAATTCATGAAAAGTCAACACATACAAGCAAAGGCAATCACACGCTCAAGGAGAGATAGACAGACAAGGGTACAACAAGAAGAGGAATAATCAAGTGAAAGGACTGCCCTGCGAACACAACACACATGCCCTAGCGCCAAAACTTGCGAGGTCGTTCCGGCTCTTCTTGGCACTTTTGGGCTTTTTCGGGCTTTTTTAGCTTTTGGGCTTTTTTTTCGGCGCTATATGAGGGGTCCCTAATGGTTGAATTCTTCAACTCCTCTGTGATAGGATCTTATTGGAGTCAAGTCAGCTATTTCGCCTCGGTTTCTAGCACTCAAAAAAGCGACACATTATTTCTAAGAAGAAGCATGGTTTTTATTGCCCCATGATTCCACAAGTATTTTGACAGACTGATATTGAGAATTTATCAAGCAATCACAGCGTCTTCATTTGAGATTATTCTCTCCTTTTCATGTCATATTTATCTTCTCGAGTTTTGAGAATAGCTGGTATTGCGTTAGTTCTCGTTGTTCCTTTTCTTTTTTCGGTCACTTCAAAGTGAAGTGAATGTTAATGAATATAATGAGGATAACAACTTTGTCTGCTAATAACTCTCTTTACGAGCAACCATCCCGCATCTTTGGGTAACATATGTGGGCGGGGGGGCTTTTTTCAACTTAGTTCACCGCGCAAAACGAATCACCCGTTGCTCTTCATTACTGTAGGATTACGGTAGGATTTTCTAGCACAATGTACAGCGAATCAGCTGCCACTTCAATAAACACCAAAAGACTGAAAACTCTTGCGAGAATTCAGCTCGATAATTTCAGTAAATGACTGGTACATGCTTGTCGTGCAATTCGAATGGAATCAGAGGTTTGATAGTTTTTGGGAACTTTATCACGTTATAATACCTTTAGTGACTTCTACACTAAAGATTATCGTAAAGCGAAAGCTCATACCTGGAATTAACAATGCTAATTTATCTGGGCCGGTAGCAATCTACCCTACCTGGTGGCATCAAAGATGCCGGCAAGTTGGCACACATCGCGGAAAGATGCCAACTCCGCCGGCAGCTCACGGAGTGATTGTAGGCTTTGATAATCTTATGTAACCTTAGCACGCAATCATTTCGCACATTGAATTTTGATGACGCAGACAGCCGCAAAATTGCTACATCGCGGGCGATCGAACCTATGTGCGTTAACATGAAGTGCCACCACGTTAACCATTCGATCATTCGGTCAGCCATTACCGATTGCACCAGCAATAGGAGGAACGCGCTGGTAAATGGATGCCTGTAAGAGGGATCGATACATTGCGTGAGAGACTTTGACCTGAAAGAACAGCTGATTGATACGAGCGAGAGAGGGGGGAAATCAGTGCAAACGAGATTTATAAGGGATTGCCAAAAAAGATGATATTCTTTATGATTCTAAGGCATTACTGGATTTTTTCTCTGCAAGAAGATCGTCGTTTTAAAAAAGAAAAACTTGTATAATGAGAAAAATGATAGTTTTTTTTTGATGAAAAGTAGAATTTTTGATTTTTTCGCCTGACGTAAATTGTGTGATATCGCCGCAATTCGCAAACTCGCAGACGCCGTCGGCAAAGGTGCCACCACCTCGACGTGGTAGGGGCACGTCGAGATGCCGGCAGTTTCCTCTCTCAAAAGAGCACGCTATTTCCCGTGCTCTCTGACCTGCCGGCAGCTGCCATCTCGCGGATTTCGACGAGCTGCCGGCAGGTTGCCGGCAACTTACATCGCGAAGTTGCCGGCAGCTCCTTCTGCGCTTCCAGATATTTTCCCACAGGAGGATTTCTAGAACCGCAGATTTCTATGGAGTTTTCTATCTACAGAGTCTAGGCGGCATCTTTATCGAGGAAATTTTTTGGAAATAGGCCTGGGACCGCCTAAATTTGGGGTTTCACTTTCTGGCCACCTCACGGAAAAGGTGCCAGCGACCTGCCGACGAGACCTGCCGCCAGGTCGGGGGGATTACTACCGGCCCTGGTGCCAAAGTTTCCAACTCAATTTGACCATTCTGAAGAACCAATATATGATGCTTATTGCTAGAGCAAAGCATTTAAAAACTTGCCGTAATCCTACAACCACGAGGAAGGGTAGATGATCCGTTTTTTATTGTAAATCGGAGTCGAAGCCAGTCTTATAACTTACCAAATAAAGATTTACGGAAGCTATTTAGACGAGTGAGTTATCAGCGATTAACGTTCGATGCATTTTCAGACACCCTGTATAGTACTTGACCCTTCACTTAGAATTCTCAGCTGAAATCGCAGCTCAAGAAGCTACACATCAGAAGAGCGCCTCTCAATCGCAGGCTAGCGATTTTTAGTCTTTCCGATAGATTCCTTATCTGCGAGTTAAAAAAAAAACCTCACCATTTGGCTCTGCCATATAGAGAAAAACTCTGGGGAGAAATTTAACACATGAGCAATGTCGACTCCAAGAACTGCTATGCACCAAGAAAATACGAAGACGATAGTGATTACCTTTAACCTCTGCAGAACTTTCCAGTGTTCTTGACTAGCACGTGATTTAGCTGGAAGACAAAGTAAAATCTTGGGATTCAAAACGTATTTATATTTCGATTATAGCAGTTTGGGACTTGACTTCTTCTCCGGCGTAGGCTTTTGACGACCTCAGCAGTAGCTAGTGCGAGGTTTTTGAAATCAGAAGCATCTTACTTCTTTAATACTCTCCCCCCCCCCCTCTTAGTCCTTCTAACTTCATGATCTTTGCTTCTCAAAGAGTGAGATTACTATGGTTAATTTGAATTAATGCAAATAATTATTCAGAGTGCTGTTTGTTTTCCTTTGATTAGAGATCTTGTAAGTCACTTACGACCGTCCATGTAAATTCAAAACCAAAATCAGCTCTAAGTTGTTATACACGCTGATGGAATAACATCAATATGCTTGTAATGAGTTGTTAGTTCTTTCTTAACGGAAAAATTGGATAAAAGAATGGTAGGGATTTAGGAGAAAGGCTAGCCACCCAAAAAATACCTATTATGAAGTCTGTAGCGTTGCGCATGCCGCTTAGGTTTGAAAGATTGCGAATTCGATTTTTTAGGACTATTGCACTAAGACTTTCAAATTGATAGGATGTTCGAAATATCAAAAAATCACTAACCTTTTTTATAGACTGCCCCAAATGTGATGGCATAAGTGATAAGGACGGCGGCATTAATAAAAACCATGGAAAGAGACCAGTACCTACTTATCACTGGAGGAAGAGCTGGAATGGTTAATTATTTAGGTTTGGATGCAGTGGATGTTCTCCTAAAAGCCACAGAAAAATGCGTATATGCAGTTTCTTTTTCTTAGAGTATGTATGCTACGGTAAAGAGAAGAATTTGTGGTTAGTGCACGCGGTAAATTTTCTTTGCAATGCAAAAATTATCTTTTTGTAGGAACAAGATAGAAGGTTGGTGTTACGTGAAAATATTCCTTTGCAGAAAAGCAAAGCAACAGACGTGGTGATATCAAGAAGAAAAATTATGACTATGTTTACGCAAGTATTTCTATCGTAAGTATGAAGCCAGGTTGCATATCTACACAACTGATAGAGTATATTGACTCAACAGCTGGTTATTGAGAATGAATAACTTCAAAGACTAGTCCTATGGCGAGACCACTTGGAAAGTTGTCGATGATAACACGAGACTGCTCGACTCAATTTGTTCCCGAGCATTCAGATGCAAACGCTTCAGTAATTCCACGATTTTCTGAGGGCGAATGACTTTGGTCACAAGAACTAGCCAAACGCCAAAGACTGGCGATCAAGAACCGGCTCCATGACGAGCTGAGCACTTTTTGAAGAAGATCTGGTCAGATGGTGCACCCTAGACGCTTGAAAAGTTCACAACTTCCGTAAGGTTATGCTTCATCTCATCTTAGCGAGCGCGTTTTCTGCATTTTCTTGAGCTTCATTCCAAATGTGTGTTTAACAGTTTCGAAGACAGCGACTGGTGGATAGGTCTCAGCCATCTCATTGTCAAAGCTTGAACGCATTTCGGACCACTTCTCGGATGAATTTCCGATCTTGAATTTTTCCGCGATGGGTTACCACTCCTAAGATGGTCCTAACTGCTGTTAGCTTGAAAATTTTGTGTCTCGTGAAATCCGAAAATACGCGCAAATTTGTTGGTCAGCCTTCTCCTCCTCGTGCATTTTACAATCAGTTCTCGTTCAGCTTGAGGAACAACTGTTTTAGTAGGCATCAAATTAGCAATGTATTTTATAGAGGGCTTTCATTAACAATTCAGGTAGTAGTGATCAACAAACAAGAACTTGTATAGCAGGTTTACAATGACATAAAAATTTGTTCACTTACTTCCCGACTCTTTTTGGGCACCGTTCACCAAAATGGGCTCGATGAGAGTTTGATGCCTAACAGTAAGATCCCCAACTGTGTACTTGCCCAACTCGCGCTGCCAAAAGTGCCTCCGAAGCATTTGCTTTGAAACTCGCCTCAAATGAGGAATCGTCACGTCGGCTCCTCCCCTTTGAGAGGGCGTGACGTTCGTTCCGTTCATCCTTGCGCACCCAACCAATCACCGTTCCGGAAGACTCGCCCAACGGGTTCTGAGTTTTGCGGAACGGGGATTGTCGGGGTTTTCGTGGATTCTTGACTTGATATTTGGAGCCAGGGACATGGGAAGTCTCGGAAAAGAATTTTGATGGGCGGCGCCTTTGATAAACCATGAGCATGAGCATATTACCAAAATTTTTTCAAGCTTGCCTTACTTCTGTTCACAAATTTTAGCTAAATCAAAGCGAGCAAAACACTTTGTGCCGTCTTACCCAGTGGTACATTGCAGCGAATAATCTCATCATCCAGGTTCATTAATCCTGATATTAAAACAAAGAGAGCGTAGACTGAGCAGATCCCAAATATAGTTATTATGTAAGATAGTGTTGGAAGCACTTGGTACCTAGAATTTTGCTAATTTCGGGAAAGTTCCGCTCCATGAAAATGAGTGGCCAGTTCTGATACTAAAACAGAATGAAATGTTGGATGGCGACTGAAAGAAGAGAATGTTCGCAGATCATCTTCTCATATTCACCAGTCCGACCGAACTTCCTCGATTTTCAAAAAAAGTGTCAGAGTGCATTATTATAATTATAGCCTTCGATAAGCGTTCTACCTCTCTTATGATAGTAAGTCAAAATCACCCAAAGAAACCTACCAGATAGGAAATAATAACGCGTACAATAAATCAGCGGATATAGCGAGAGTCATGACAGCTTGGTGTGAAATCGTAAAAATGTAGGGTGATATGATAAGGAAACAATCCCTTCGTGAAACACTTGTATGCGATATCAGGAATGCGGCATTGGAAGTTTCTCCGAATAAACAAATCATATGAGAGATCGCATTTATTCCGAGAAGAATTCCTTTAAAAAAACTCTTCAAGAAATCTGTCAACTTTTCTGAGAGTTATTGTGACAAAATTGATTCAAGCGATTCTTTAGGTTCTTGCGTCTCAAACCAGGGAAATATTCCTAAGGCCCGCTCGATGTAGCGAACTGAGCGCTGTTTGAAACTGACATGATTTTTTTAGAGCCTAAATCGGCTCGACATCACAGTCGTGAAAGTATTGATTAATGCGCAAACTTACCTGGTTTAGACTGCAAAGATTTTCTCCGGACTGTCATCCATAGTAGATTGAAATTACCGAAAACTCCAACGATAAAAAATATGATCACCTCTGCGCTTACAATGCTCTCGTCAGTGCGCATTGGCCTGGAAAGTGATCACTAAATCGTGACACCATGGCACATATGACGATGAGGAAGAGATCTGACACAATACTCCTTCGTATTCGCAATTCTGAAGCTTACGGTGTTTGTTATGAGGAAAAATAAAAAAAGCACCTGGCATGTAAATTAGTTTTGTCCTTTTTGTGGACTTCCGACTTCTCTTAAAGTCATGAGATTACGGCTGCTTTCTCTCTATTACTTCGTTGACACTTCCCTCTTTTCGTGTCATTTCTTCCGTTGAATAACAAATGAGAAAAGAGATTGAATCCTAAGAAAAAATCGCTAAACATGACAGCGTCGTAAGAGTTGGTAATGGTTGAATCATCCAGTGAGGCATCTTTTAGGAGCACAAATCTCTCTCAAAACATTTGCTTCAGCACAGCAGTGCTGCGCAAGCAATTTGGCAACGGCATTCGGAATTCAATACAGGTGGAGATGCCTCACGAAGTTTTTTATTGTAAAATGTGGGCATGCGATCAAATGCTTTTCGTATGCTTTTCAAGACAAAGTATCTATCCAGCATTAGTATCTATAGTATATTAAACTCCACAAATTCTTGAACAAGACTGCTATCAATCTTACTTACAAGGAGAGGATACTTAGTCGAAAGCACCAATCCAGATGAGACACATATCATCTTAAAGCGCTTAAAACGCTGATTCTAAATCTGTAGTTTCTAGCAGTGGAGCGGTTTTGTAGAAGGAGTTACGAGGGGTGTTTCCCTTTGGAGTTGATGCGCCCTCCAGCAGGTCTTCCCTTACCCTACTGGTACCAACTAGTAGCAACTGGCTAGTGGTAAGTAATTTGAATGAAGATTACAGTGAGGATTATAATACTCGAATTACTTTGATTTTTTAACAATTCCAAGTTCAATTAGCGTCAATATCATCCGAAATTTCAGGCTTTAGGGCTCTAGAGCCATTTAAAAGCTCAAGAGTTGCAATAAAGTTGCGTGCGAAGGGGATTAAAACCTTGACACTCTCTTTATCAAACAAGGCACTTATCACTAGGCCACTTGCCACTATTTAGTACTCTACAGTACTCATAGATAAGGGGAGACCTGCTGGAAGGCGCCTCAATCCCAAAAGGAAACACTCCTCATAACTCCTTCTACAAAACCGCTCCGCAGCTGGAAACTGCGATTTGGAATCAGCGCTCCGAGCACGTCCAGATGATATATGTCTCATCTGGATTGGTGCTTTCGACTAAGTATCCTCTCCTTGTTAGTACATTGTAAAAGTGTTTCCTTGATGATAATGGAGACCATTATCGATTTAGTTGCCGGACAAGATCCTCTGATTTTTCTTATCTATCTTTCCAATGGCCGTATTCATCAGCGAACCCTGAGGTGAAGCTTACCCTCAAAGGTAGGTTTTACCCTCAGGGTTACTGGCCATATACATTAACGAACCCTTGAGGATAGGGTAGGGGTTTATCCCGGACGACTGAGTCGTATTGATCAACGAACCTTGAGGGTAAATCCTACGCTTGAGGGTAAACCTTACCCCAGAGGGCGCAACCGTATATTTACGAACGTGGCTCATCAGGGTAAATTTAACCCTAGCACACAGCAAAATTGAATTCACTCTGACATTTCGTATAAAGATTAGTGGTCTCTCGACTCACTACTAAGTCCTAACGATACTGTTATGACATTGAGCACATATTCGTGGTTACTACTATCTCAAAGTTCGTATGGCCTCTTCTCGTGTTATCGTTCATTGTTATCATCCGGTATTATATTCGGCAAAGCTGTGTAAAAACATTTATTTTGAATAAATTACATGTCCAACTAAGGGCTTTTATATTGGAACATCAAGCTCAATAACTCGAAAATTTTCGTAATTTGGAACTTCCTCATTCAAATTTTAGTCCACTAATACACTCGTTCAGTAAATGATTTGATACATGATCACACTATCGCAACTCAACTAGAGATGCACTTAAAGTTGACAGTCTCATTCTATTTTTTGTAATACAATTGGAGTAGAAGGAAAGAGGTTAGGAGATCTGAGATTATAATAATCAGAAATATGTGTTTGTATCAAACAGTATCGTTAAGACTGAATAGTGAGAGATCATTTTATGTTTCATGAAGTATCAGGGTAAATTTAACCTTGCTCTATGCTAGGGTGATATTTACCCTGATGAGCCACGTCCCCAGGACTAGGAGTTAGCCTCAAAGTCTTTGATGAACACAGCTTAATCGCTTTAAGGGGTAAGGTTTATCCTCAAGGATACGTTTAACATTTGAGGTTAAGCTTACCCTGTGCTTCGTGAATACGGAATCTATGCTTTCTGGATTGAAACTTACTTTCCAGAGGTATGGTTTACCCTCGGTTCGTTGATGAGTACGGCCACTGAACCAGATTATGTCGTTCTCCGGATTCATTTCTTCAAGTCCATGCGCATTCTTGGAGATAATTATAAATTTCATAAAGGCTATCTACCCGCAAGGCTTGAACAAACTGACTAATTTAGTCGAATATTTTTATAGCGGATTTCCGGTGAGGACGAGAGCATTCGAGGTAACTTAGCTATTCATCTTTATATCGAAAGCAAAATAGTCCAAAATGTTTACTAGACATATTTATCCCTTTCAATGATCAAAAAACATCCTTCTCTTCAAACTGTTTCCGCTACGCGAATTCCACCAGGAGAGAATCCAAGTATTGGCGTGAGGTATACTACCTCTAGTTTTGCCACCCGAAGGATGGTACGCGCGTTCGTCTGCGTTCTGGGCAAATCCAGTATGTTCACTACAAATAAAATGACATTTTTATAATGTCGATCTTCATTTTTTTTTGGATGGAAAAAAGTCCATCTTCTTTTTCTGAATTGTTGAATTGGAAATGGGGTGAATAATCGATTAGAAAACAAGACGAGCATACCTAGGTATAGTCCCCTCCACAGCTCGTGCTACCCTTGGTCTGCGTCTCAAGACCTGCCACATGTGGCTAACATGTTGGCAACGTGGCAACAACATGTTTGCAACATGCCCCAACATGTTGGCAGTACACTTTGGCCACGCCAACATGTTGCTGCATGTTGCCAACGTGCTGCTGCCAACGTTGCCAATGTGTTAGTCACACGTGGCAGGTCTTGAGACGCAGACCAAGGGTAGCACGAGCTGTGGAGGGGACGATATCTGGATATGTTGGAGGTAGACAATTAAAATTTTGTTGGAACGTGGTAGACATGTAGACGTCATGTTGATTTATTCTCTAACATTGGCGGGAGGTTGACATTGACACTTCAAATATGGTACAAGGGTAAAAGTAACCTTTTTTGAACATCACGATCCAGATCTCTCTCCTCTAAGAATTCCTCCTTCTTTATCATTATCCTTTTCCTCATCTATTTCGCACCCTTGAGAACGAGTGTCGTAGGGACAATGGGAAGGCAACTATAACAAGGTGGAAGAGGGAAATTCATAAGATCGAAGTATGCACGAAAATCAAAAGGTGAAGAGAAACTTAAAAAGTTCTTCTCTATAATAGAAAGCAACCATTAATCATGAGTTGCTGCCTTTCTAATACTTGGCACAAGAGCTTATAAAGATGATCTTTGTTCTTCCTAGAAACTGGAGATCAATAGATTTCATTACAATTAGCAATTAGCAAATAGTTCACAAGCTCAGTTCCTGTTTGTGAGAACCCTCTTTTAGTAGAGGCGCCCTAACGAGCTTGAATTGTATGAATCTCATTCAAAACGCATTCAAAAAGTACACAAAACTTGGTAAATCCAATTGATAAGGTGTGTAGCCGCTTAGAAAAGGCCAGAATGAGAGGAATGAGGTGGATGGCTATTTTTTCACGCGCAATGTTGATGGCATTACAATAGTAGTAGTTTTTTTCAGTTTTTCCATGCAAATGTTGTCAGCAGTGCAGGTGCACCGTAAAAAAGATCTTCAATTTTCTAAATGGTACTATATCGTAGCTGCTCAATTTTCTTAGTTATTTTCTCTTGAATGTTATAGAGTGATGGAAAATATTTTTGGCGTCAGTGAATTTGACTACACTATCAATAGATTTCATTACAATTACCATAGCTTGTCCTCCTCTTTGATAGTCAAACGTCGGCCACTAGCAAGGCTATCGTCGAGTTGATCCGCACGACTGGCCACAGAGTGCAGAGCACGCGCGGCGCGCCGAAATGTCATTAGAGCACGATGGTACAATCGTTGAGCCATGCGGCGCGTGCCCTGCAATCTACGGCCAGTCCGTGCGGTCTTGACGTTACCTTTAGCCTCGCTTTGAGTTGAAACTCCTCCCGAAACTTTTTGCATATCAATGATTTGTGATAAAGCATGAACAACAGCCAGATTTGCAACTGAATAAGCACTTTGTCTCTAGTCCGATGCCTGGTGTTTGCAAATTTCAACATAAAAACTCGTGAGATGTTAGAGCGCTAACAGCATTGAAAATCTAGGTAGCTCAGAAAACGGTATTTCTCTATATAGAAGTTACGCTGACAACGCACATAATCAAATACAGCTCAGCACGAAATAATCACGTTAGGGGAATGCTCAACTTTTGAGCCTGTGCTATGTGACAAGTCATCCATTTTTCGCACCCCTTTCTGACCATTTTTCACGAACATTTCTTTACAGCTCGAAAGCGAAAGTTTTCGCTTTTGCTGCAGTTAAATCTACAGCTAAAAGAAGAGATTTTTGAATCATATGTAACGTCTGCTGGGGAGTTGCGCTACGAAACACCTATCGAGATCGAAAAGTTAGAAAAATTTCGAACCTATTTTTAGCTCTTAATTTTAGTTGTTAATTTTAGCATAAACATGACCTGTTATTGTGGTCCCTCTGAGCATGAAAATCATACGCGTAGTGCAATCTGGCAACTTTGCTCTAAATGGTAAGATTACGCCTATAACATTCATCAAAGACGATAAAAAACCTTCACGATTTTCAGTGGAGATAAGAAATCAAAAAACTCACAAAAGTGCATTTTTTGCCATCTCAGAAA